CCTCAGAATAGGGCTCTGCCGCAGCCTCACCACCGGCGGGTCGTGATGAAGAAGTGGTCTCTTTTTGCAGCACGGCTTTGGAGGTTTTCGCCATTGATGAATAAGTGAAAAGAGAAGTAATACGGTTTGATTAGAGTTCTAGAAAATTGAGTGTGGAAATTATGAAGCAAAGGGATTTTCTGAAGAAGAGGCAAGAGTAGAAAGATCTTTGAGTGTAAAAGTTTGAATGAGAAAAGATAGGGTTCTTATAGGTTGTTAGCGACGGTTCGGAACCGGTAGTGGACGACCAGCAACTGACATGCATTAAATGCCTTGGTAACTGGACCGACAGGACGTTTCATCGCATACGTCATAATCGGGCTCGTCACTGACGTCATTACCCATCGAGTCGGAGTTCAGAAATTCTTATCGTTTCTCGCCATCTTCTTTCCGAGAAACGAGGGAACTACCAATATACGGTCAAAATCGAGTTTGCCCTTTATATGACTAATCGAGACTGAAATATAATTGGACAAGGTTCGAACTCGTGTAATATCGAATCATGATGCGAAGTTAGATTGCCGAGTTCGTGACCCAGAAACCGATCAAGATCGAGATCGGCCAAGATCGAGACCAAGCAAAATAGAGATCGAGCGAGACCGAGGAAAGTTTATCGAGCCAAAAAACAGAAAGCCAGAATGTCCGCAATTAGGCAAGAATCATGGCGGATATCCCGGCGCATATCAAGGAGAGGCCAATAAATTAATCTATCATGAAATTCCTTACTGTATTTAGAATTATATTAAGAGTAGGACTTCCCTAATATATAAATGAGGTCTAATCATTTGTATGAGGAGGACAATTATATTTTACACAATACAAAGCAATACACTGCCTTCTTTCGGTCTTCAATATTTTATTACTCTGTTCATATATTAGCAGAATCTTCACTTGGTTCGAGGGTGACCCAACTCGAGGGCCAAGGCTAATTGATCCGTTTGGTTTGCATTTATTTCTTTTACAGTCAATTTTAATATTAATTTATATATTTTCTCAATTTGTGCCAAGTTACATCACGTATCCTTAGAGCCGCATATAAATTCAATTGTTATTCGTTTTTCGGGTAAACAACTATCATACAGAATTCAGGATGCATTATTAGTATTGTTGCCAATTTGTATGGCAAGCCAAATTCTCCATAAATGCGTCAAGTGATCCACTAAGTTCCATCTCTGCCATGATTAATTCTTTCATTCACTTCTGTTTTTGAAGGAAACGCATTGGGCAATTCTGTAAACTTCCAAAGGTTAAGCCCCTTTCTAAGTTTCAAATGCTTGAGCTTTAATGGCCTACCTACAATCAACCTGAGCGAGCATGATCAACTTCATATGATGATAAAGCACTGGCGAAAGCTGGATCACGTGAAACAAGCTCAAGACTCATGAGCATGGCCCATAAGACGACTATAAGAGGTCTCAACAATTCAGAACTTATCAGAATACTCATTGCAAAAGCGAGAATAAAAATTGACAGGCTAATATGTTATAGTTGTATTATTCTATTTGTACTTATCTTTCAGAATATGAAGTAAAAAATATAAGTTTAACATGACACATTTGTACGTAGTTCCATAGTTTAACAGTTAATTTGGAGAAATGACAATTGGAAGGTCAAAAAGCTTGTCATTCTATAACAGATTTAGCATACAAACTTTTTCACACTTAAAGCTTCTGTTTCTTGTATGTTATTCCTCAACTTCAACCCACAAAAGTTTAAGAAATCCTCCCGTAAATGGAAACATGGGATTTTTTCAGCAAAAATAAATTATGATAGCAGAGTCAGCGATTCCATGCAATGATTTTACATCTTAATGTACTCATAGTGTTGTGATACTCTGGATGACCCTGATCAGATTTAACTCCTCGCCATTTTGTTTGTTAGCAAGATATTAAAGTTTTTAATAGCTGCTTGTAAGAACAACAATGTGAATATGCGATTAATGATTTTTTAAATTGTCTCAATATGTATCTTCATTTTCCCTTTTTGATCATTCGTTACATTTTGGTAAAACAGTATAAACCAAGTATTACCAAAAGATATTACGTAACAAATAACAGGAGAATGTGAATGGAGTGTGATAAATGCTAGTATAGAAAAATCAACTCCTAATGGTAGTAGAGCTCTGTATCTGTATCATTGGGCCAAGGCCTCATTTGGAGGTTCCTACTAAGTTTTCTACTTCTCTTTGATCCTCATGTTCTGCCTCAAGGTGAGAAACATGATGATTCTTCTCCTAGAGGAGTTATTGAAGCGTGAATCAGAAACCAGGAGAGTCGCTCCGATTCTCCTAAAGCTAAATCCTCAGCTTCTCACCTCTCGATAGCACAAGTTCCTCAAAATATGGAAGAGAAGTTCCATCAAAAGAGAACCTTCCTTTCCACCTTTAGCCGTTCCAAGGATATCGAGAAGGAAAAGAACAAGTGTGAGGGAGAATGTAGCAACATGTTTTCATCACTTCAAATCCTCCTGGAAGAACTTCAGCCTATCTGACCTGAAGAAAACATGCCGCCCAAATCAGTTCTCCTGAAGATGAAGGACCAGATGTTCCTGCCAGTGGCACGGCACTGGCTCATTGTTTCTGTAGCAATCAACTTACGGTTGCTATTTAATTAACCTAATTATGCATGACGAAGCTAAAATAACATGAGCTTTGTTGGGAATAAAACCCCCCACAATAATATGATTCACGGTAATAAAAACGGAATAATAACGTAGCACCGAGATACGTTAATTAACAAGAATAAAAGAGTGACAATGACACCAAGATTTTTACGTGAAAAACCTATTTGAATAAGGAAAAAAAAAAATACGGCCCCGAGATGAGCAACCGATATCACTATAACAAGAAATTTTACACTTTGTAGGTCCGAGTAAAATACTCCAAAGACAACTACAACACTCAAAAGATATAACTCTCTTTTGATATTTCCACCTCACTATAATATCATTCACTCTCTATTTTTCTCACAAACTATTTTCTTATACACTGTCTATGAAACCTCACTCTTTCTTTCTAACTCTCAAATATATTTTTCCTCCGAGATTGGTGTATAAAATGAGAGGGGATGGCTGTCCCAATTAACCAAATGGAAGATTGAATCTCACTTTGCAACTTGCACTATGTAAATTGCGGTGCAAATTAGTTGCCAACTCTAAGACTTGCTCTTGCCATCATTAGATTCTCTTTCTTCTCTTTTTTCTACACATGGGTTTGGAACCCATCAAGCTTAATGGAAAGCTCGACATAAATGTCCGTCATACATGAGCTTAAATAGCAACCCCAAGTTGATTGCTACTAAAAGGATGAGCCAGTGCAGGAAGATTTGGTCCTTCATCTTCAGGACAACTAAAACTTCGGACGACATGCATGTTTTCTTCAGGTTAAATAGACCGAAGTTCTTCCATGAAGATTTAAAGGGGTAGAAACCGGTTGCTACATTTTCCCTAACTCTTGTTTTCCCTTCTTGATATCCTTGGAGTAGCTAAAGGTGGAATAGAAGATTTCTCTTTGATGGAACTTCTCTTACACATTTTGAAAAGCTTGTACCAGAGAGAAGGCATAGATGAATTTAACAAGCAGATTTGAGAATCGGAGGATTTAGCTTTTGGATAATTAGAGTTATTGTCCCGCTTCTTATGTGATAGAATGAATAATCGGAGTTTCGATCTTCACGAGGATACTAAGAAAATAACAGATAAATTTGATCGAAGAAAACAAGATGGAGAACTGATTTTGACCAAGCCAAATGTCCTTGATTGACCAAAAGGAGTAATTAAACCAAAGTGGCCAAAAACCAAAAGTGGCTAAAGCTGAGGGCATAGAGTATGATGAGACTTTTGCTCCAGTTGCAAGATTAGAAGTAATTAAACTCCTTAAAGCTTTTGCTTCTTTCATGGAATTCACTCTCCATCAGATGGATGTAACGAGTGCCTTCATGAATGGCTATTTAAAAGAAGAAGTGTTTGTCAAGCAACTTCCAAGCTTTGAGAGCAAGGAATGTCCTGAACATGTGACAAGCTTAACAAAGCACTTTATGGGCTCAAGCAGGCTCCAAGAGCATGGTATGAAAGAGTGTCTAAATTATTTCTTGAGCATGGCTAAAGAGAGGTAAAATTGATAATACTTTATTCTTGAACGAAAAAAAGTAAAGATCTCTTGGTAGTTCAGATTTATGTTGATGATATAATCTTTGGAGGAATAACTAATATGTTACGTAAAGAGTTTTATAAGTTAATGAGGAGTGAATTTGAAATGAGTATGATGGGTGAGCTTGATTCTTTTTAGGCTTGTAAATTAAACAAAATTCAAATGGAACTATGATCCATCAACAAAAATATGTGAAAGAGTTGCTTAAAAGGTTTAAGATGGAAGATTCTAAAGAAATCGACACTCCTATAGCAACAACCACGAAATTGGATTTGGATGAACCTGGTGGATAAATGAACCTGGTGCATCTGTTGATCAGAAAATATATATGGGAATGATTGGCACTTTATTATATCTCACTACTAGTAGACGTGATATTGTTTTTAGTGTAGGCCTTGATGCTAGGTTTCGGGTAAATCCAAAGTAGTCTCGCTGGAAGGCAGTCAAAAGAATCTTGAGATACTTAAAAGGCACCACTGATCTTTGCCTATGGTATCCAAAAGGTAATAATTTTGATTTAGTGGCTATACAAAGAACTGCTGGATATCTTTATACATTTTTTGTCTTTTTCCTTGTATACAAAGTTTGTTAGGATATACTCAATAGTAATAGGAAACGTAATTAGTAAATTCTGATTCTTTGGAGCATAGCTAAATGTATAAATATACAATGTACAGAGGAGCAATGGGGAGCGGCGAATATTTTCTCTCATTTTCTTCTTTCAATTCCATTATGGTATCAGAGCCAGGGCTCTAGATCTGGATCCTTCTTCTTTTCTGATTACATCTAATTCCTACTTCTTTTAACTTTCTCAATGGGAAGTTCTCTTGATGATTCTATAACCACTTCCCAAATTGGTGCAACCACTGTTGGTGCAGCAAGTGTTGCTGCTTCTCAAAATCTCGATGTGTCTCATCCTTACTTTCTTGCACCTTCAGACTTTCCAGGAATGCAGCTTGTAACCTCGCCTTTTGATGGTAAAGGATATGGAGGATGGAAGAGGAGCATGTTGATTGCTTTGACAACAAAGAACAAAGTGGGTTTCATCAATGGAAGCTGCCCTGAACCAGAAATCAACTCAAATCTATACACTTCATGGACTAGATGCAACAATATGGTAATCTCTTGGTTATTAAACTCACTCTCTAAAGAAATCAGTGAAAGTGTAATTTATTCTTCTACTGCTAAAGACCTTTGGAATGAACTAGAAGAAAGGTTTGGGCAAAGCTGTGGAACCAGACTTTTTCAGTTGCAGAAAGAACTAAGTATTTTGAACCAAGGGTCTAATGACATAGCTGGATACTACACTAAGCTGAAACATATTTGGGATAAACTTGACACTCTTGGTGCTTACGAGATTTGTAGTTGCAACTGTAACTGTGGGGTTAGGTTAAAAATATAAAGGATAATCAAGATGAAAGATTGGTATAATTTCTTATGGGATTGAATGACATTTACTGCACTGCTAGAGGAAGTATTCTGATGTTGTCACCTTTGCCCACTATTGCTACTGCATACTCTTTACTGGTGCAAGATGAAAGGCAAAGGGAAGTCCATGCTATCCCTAAATACCCTGGGGAATCTTCAGCTTTTGCTGTGAATCAAAATATTGCAAGTCAAAAGGCACATAATGGAGATTATAAAGGGCAGAGAGGAGCTTATGAAAATAGAAAAGTGAACATGTTCTGCAACTACTGCAAGAAGTCTGGGCATCTCATTGAAAAATGTTACAGGCTTCATGGATTTCCCCCAAGCTTTAAGTTTACCAAGCAAAAGAAGTACCCAGGATCAATCCAAGGAAATGCTGCAGTTGCAGGAGAAGGAGCTACTGATTATCTCCCACATCATGGAGAGATAGCAGAAATGGGAATCAACCATTCTCTTACCCAGGAGCAGGTCAGTCAGCTTGATCAACTCCTTCAACAGATGAAAGGAGGTCAATCAGGTGCAACATATACTGAGGGAGGAGCCACTGCTAACTGTGTTGCTGGTATAAGTTCTTGTCCTCCCATTCCAATTTTTTCCTTCATTAGTAAAGCCTGTCTCACAAAAATAAACCATCAGACCTGGATAATAGATTCAGGTGCTTCAGAACACATGACTTTCAATAGAAAACTCTTGTTCAATGTTCATCCTCTTCCAACTTCTCTCATTGTTGATTTGCCTAACTCTTATAAAGTAAAAGTGACTCATGCAGGTTCTGTGAGATTATTCCCTACACTTGTGATCCATAGTGTTCTTTTCATTCCCAGTTTCAGATTTAACTTATTATCTATCCATAAGTTCTGTAATCAATTGAACTCACTGCACATTTTTACATCTTCCAAATGTCAAATGCAGGGCCCTTCAATGAAGAGGCCACAGGAGTTTGGTGAATTAAGAAATGGACTCTATTTGCTATAATCTAATCCTCTAGTTTCTCATGTTTCTATCTTTAATTCAGCTAAGGCATGTAATAATAGAGCTTTGACTTGTTTTTCTCATTCTGATGTAAACAGAAAGTTGTGGCATGTTCGTTTGGGACATATGCCTTTATCTAATATGAAGAATATTGCTTCCATTTCTCTCTCTAGTGATTCTAAATTTGATATTCCTTGTGACATTTGCCCCCTAGCAAGGCAACATAAACTTCCTTTTCCTAACAGTAGCATTACTTCCAAGGAAACTTTTGAACTCAGTCACATAGATACATGGGGACCCTATAAAACTCCGACTTATGATGGTTACAAATATTTTCTCACTATTGTAGATGATTTCAGTAGGGGTACCTAGACTTTTCTTCTAAGCACCAAAAGCAATGCTTTTCCTATTCTCAAAAGTTTTCTAGCAATGATTGAAAGGCAATTCAACAAGAAAGTTAGAATAGTTAGGTCTGACAATGCTTGGGAACTTGGTTCTAGCCCTTCTCACTCAGATTTTCTCTCTTCACACGGAATTATCCATCAAACTTCATGTGTTGCAACTCCACAACAAAATAGTGTTGTGGAGAGAAAACACAAGCATCTCCTGAAAACTTGTAGAGCTCTTTTATATCAATTCAAATTGCCTATTACTTATTGGGGAGATTGTTTGATGACCGCTACTTTCTTACTTAACAGATTTCCAACCAAGGTACTTGATTATAAAACACCATATGAGATTTTATTTGGCACAGTTCCATCTTATTCTTCCTTAAGGAGTTTTGGATGTTTATGCTTTGCCTCCACTTTGTCACAAAGAAGATCAAAAATGGATCCTAGGGCTATTCCATGTATTTTTCTTGGATATCCATTTGGTAAAAAGGGGTATAAGTTATTAAATTTGGTGTCCAAAAGAACTTTTGATTCCAGAAATGTAATTTTTCATGAAACCATTTTCCCTTTTGCCACTACTGCTCCTCAAAACAACACTTTCCCATTCACTCCTATGCCCATCATTACTCCTGATATCTCTTCTGCTCCTACATTAGACTCTCAGCCACCTCAAGTCAGTTCTCCCTCTTCCACACTAAATAGTCCTATTCGGGGACAGTTATCACCTTCACCTCCTACACCATCAGCTGAGTCTTCCTCTCTTATTTTCTCTCCCACGTCTGATCCTAGTACCATCTTAAGAAGATCTACCAGGGAAACCAAGACTCCAGGTTATTTAAAGGACTATGTTTGCAACACAATCCATTTTTCTGATGTCTCTAATGCTTGTTTCTTATCTACTATTTCTGCACCCTCTATTTCCTTCACTAATCTTTCTGGTCAAAATCAAAAGCTTCTTAACTCACTCTCTCATATGCAAAAGCCTACCAGTTATTCGCAGGCAGTCCTTCATCCAGGGTGGCAGGAGGCTATGGACAAAGAACTTGATGCCTTGGTGGCCAACAACACATGGGAAGTAGTTGAACTTCCATCTGGAAAGAAAGCTTTGGCATGTAAATGGGTATATAAAGTCAAGCTTAAATCCGATGGATCATTTGAAAGATTGAAAGCACGACTAGTTATTCGTGGCGATACACAAAGAGAGGGCATTGATTTTAATGAGACCTTCAGTCCAGTTGTTAAGATGACTACCATAAGGTGTCTTTTAGCCATTGCTGTAAATAAAGGATGGGGATTATTTCAATTGGACGTTAACAATGTCTTTTTACATGGGGAGTTAGATGAAGAAGTTTATATGCGTTTTCCTGCTGGACTGTCTGCCCCATCGCCCACACATGTGTGCAAACTTCGTAAGTCTCTTTATGGTTTGAGGCAGGCTTCGCGACAGTGGTATTCAAGATTGACTGCTGCTTTAAACTTTAAGGGTTATTCTCATTCCCTTAATGACTATTCACTCTTCTTCAATCAAATAGGCGAATCAATTACTATTGTTGCCGTCTATGTTGACGACATATTATTAACAGGGAATGATCTTCAAGAAATGATTGCTTTAAAGGCCTTTTTAGATAGTGAATTCAAAATCAAAGACCTTGGGAACTTACATTATTTCTTGGGTATGGAGGTCCTCCGTGAACCACAAGGACTGGTGTTGTGCCAACGAAAATTTGTTCTGGAAGTTCTTCAGGAATTCAACTATTTGGAGTTATCTCCAGTCTCTTCTCCATTGGATCACAATTGTAAGCTTCGAGCAGATGTAGGTGAACCTCTATCCGACCCAACAGTCTATAGGAAATTGCTTGGCAAGCTCAATTTCTTAACCAATACTCGTCCAGATTTATCATTCTCCGTTCAACATCTCAGCCAATACATGCAAAACCCAAGGCAACCTCATTATGATGCCGCCATACATGTCCTTCGGTATCTCCTGTCTTCTCCTGGTCTAGGACTTTTTATGAGCTCTGCACCTTCTTTTGAGTTGCTCGCCTTTTGTGACTCCGATTGGGCGACTTGTCCAAATTCTCATCGATCGATTAGTTGTTATTTCATCAGCTTAGGTGGTTCTCCGATTTCTTGGAAATCAAAGAAACAACCTTCAGTCTCTCTTTCTTCTACTGAAGCAGAATATAGATCCATGCGCCGAGTTATTGCAGAATTAACTTGGCTGGTTCGTTTGCTTGAGGATTTGACAGTTCCTCCGCCTTTGCCGATTACTCTACACTCCGATAGTCAAGCCGCCATCTACATCGCAAAAAATCACGTCTTTCATGAACGGACGAAACATGTAGACCTCGATTGCCATTTTGTCCGTCAACAATTCCTAGCTGGATTAATTTCCCTTTCCTTTGTTCCCTCTTCATCCCAATTAGCAGATTTGTTCACCAAAGCCCTATCTGGACCTCTACACAAATCACTTCTGGGCAAGTTGGGAGTGAAACTTTCACCCTCCAACTTGAGGGGGGATGATAGAATGAATAATCGGAGTTTCGATCTTCACGAGGATACTAAGCAAATAACAGAGAAATTTGATCGAAGAAAACAAGATGGAGAATTGATTTTGACCAAGCCAAATGTCCTTGATCGACCAAAAGGAGTAATTAAACCAAAGTGGCCAAAAACCAAACGTGGCTAAAGCTTAAATAATTCATCCACAACTCTCCACATGCTATACAAAGAACAACTGGATATCTTTATACATTTTTTGTCTTTTTCCTTGTATACAAAGTTCGTTAGGATATACTCAATAGTAATAGGACACGTAATTAGTAAATTCTGATTCTTTGGAGCATAGCTAAATGTATAAATATACAATGTACAGAGGAACAATGGGGAGCGGCGAATATTTTCTCTCATTTTCTTCTTTCAATTCCATTATTATGCATGCTTCAATAAATTTTCTTGGAGAATTGTATATTCTCAGCTTGTATATGGTCAAAAGCACGTGCTTTCAAGACTGACAATTAAGAGCCTGTTTGGATGGGCTTAAAAGCTGGTCAAATCAGTTTTTAATCAGTTTTTAACTTGTGGAAGTGTTTGGCAACCAAAAAATGGGCTTAAAACAAGTTAAAATCTGCTTTAAAAAAGCCAAAACCAATAAGTTGGAAAATCCAACTTTTTCTAAATTGGCTTAAAAGCCATATTGCTTTGACCAAAGATATTACATTCTTATCCCTTATAATTTTTCTTAATCCCGGAATTACCCCTAAGTAAAAACCCTACAACATACCATTTGTTTTCCCCATTCTCCAATATTTATCAATTTCTTGAAGTTCTTAACGTGAAGCAAACAATAGTTTTTTAAATAATGTTTGACACATTCCAATATTTTGTAAATATTGTTCTTTTGGCTTCTTTTTTTGGTTCCATTATATTTAATTTTTTTGATCGTTGAATCCTTCCTTTTTTTTTAATTGGTGTAACTATATTCTAAAATCAAATCATTCAATGAATTTACATGTTACTCATGAATTTGAAGCTATGAACGGAAAATATAATATTATGGTCATCATCTTCTTTATAATGTTAACAACTTTAAGGATATTTCAGTCATTTT